GACGCTATGGTACGGCAAGTTTGGTCTTCAGTACAATATTTTTTTCGGTTCTCGAAGCGAAGATCCAAAAAGATTTTTTGGTACCGTACGGTACTTACCATCCGTACGTACTACTTAATGCCGTGATTGAATTACGTACCATACATACAGTAAGAATTCCTGATTTACTTGAAGGAAGACGTTGACACGGTACGGTAACTTTCACGGGTCATTCGGAAGGCAAACCAGGATCGACAGAGGTGGGGACAAGCTCAACACACTCACYACACTCATCTAACCATCAGCACAGGAGTGTCAAAAGTATTGCAGATTGTCGGAACAGTTTAATGTCGTGGTGATCAGTTGCGCAGTTCCACTTTATTGGCGAAGATATATTAACGGCTTCCACCTTCCCATCATTATACTAGTGCCCAATGACAACTGACCGGAACATGTCGCAAAAGCGAAGGAATCAGAGGGTTCGACAAGGTGGCGAGATTTCGGACAGATGTCTTTTAGTGAGAAACTTGCCCAGGGGCATTCCCCAAGATGATTTCATAGCATGGTTTACGAACACCTTCGAATTTCCCGAGGAAGATGACAAAGCCAATAAGGACCATCAAATAACTCGAGTGGTATATTGTAATCATACGAAATCGCAATCTCCCACGAGTGCCGGTTCGTACATGGTAGAATTTGCAAGCTCTTCGMGACGAGATCAAACCATTGACGTGGTACGCCGCCAAGAAAAACACCATGAAAGCCCTTCTTCCGAAACCGAAGTCCAAATCACGGAGAAGGCCCCGAAGAAATGGGTCTTCGGGATYAAGATACAGATCGAACGTTTCCGCTCTGAAAAAGTCCTGAAGAAGCTTTTTCAAGCTCCAACTGCCGTCGACGARGCCCCCGAAGATTCCAAAGAAAACAATAGTGCTCCGGAGCAAGAAAACGGAATTCCGCAGCCACCGCCATCCTCTACTCTTTCCAGTCGGTGCATCCTGGTTCGCAACTCTTCATTGATAAGCAACAACGATACCGGCATTGCGGTGATATCACAAATAGTCGAAGGATGCCTCGGGGAAAAGATTCATCGCTCTGCAGAATACACTCTTGGAAAGAGACATTCGAAGGTCTTGGAGCTAAACCTTGAAGAGAGTGTCGATCGAATCTTAGAAGCATGCCACAGCGATGACCCAAATACTACGAGCGAAGAGAACTCGTCGAAAAAGTCGGGACGCGTTTTGGAAATTCCCGTCCAGATCCATCCAGTCAAGTCCGAAAACTATGCCAAGGAGTGCCTAGGGTACGTCGCCGAACCAAGTGGCACGACCAACGGCAGAGATAAATCGGCGACGAAAGACACGAAAATTGACGACAGCGACACCAGGAAGGATTCCAAAGAAAGCAATGGCACAAATGGAACGCCGCGCAGGAGCAAGAATTCGTCAAAGAAYGCACCGAGGGAGGGTCGCAAAAACGACGAAACAAGCAAAGAGCTCCAGATTCTTAAGCAACAAAATATTTCCTTGTGGGAACTAGTCGAACAATCGAAAGAACGAACTTTTCTTCAGGAGGAAAAAATAAAYATGTTGAGCTTGCAGRTCAGCGGATTGGAMAAGGAAATTGCCAAATTGCGAGCCACTAATGCTGAATTGRAGTCTCGGGTGTATGCCGATCAAAGCGAAAAAGAATCCGAGAATGCTCCCAAGGAAGCACAAAAGGAAGACGAAGACTCACCCAGTGWAACAGTCCAAAGCGAAAAAGAGGAAGAAAACACTGCAGAAGAAATAGGAAGTTAGAAGAAGCATTACAAATCGAAATTGTCTAAAGCAAATAAAAAGTTGATGCCAAGGATCTCGGAAGGCCAAATTCGGCCTCCAAATCCGCCAGCCAACTGTTACTATAGGAGCAGGTATAACCTGTACCAGCACAAATTGTTGCACGATTCTATTGCGTATTGGCTATGGTTCTTTGATTACGTTGGTAGATGCAAGAATAATCAGCCTTTTTTTAGGGATGAYAATAACAAAAAATCTTTAGTTTACTACGAGATTGATWGACCAAGTCTTCAGCGTATCAAGGTTCAAGAAATTAGCTTCATGCACAAAACTGGTTTTTAACCTAGTATTAATGGACTAAATGAGCAGCACAAGGCAATGTATTTGACTCCGCGAGATTAATTCTCTGCAATTTTATCAAGATTAGATCACATCGATACACTGCCTCTCTATTTTTCGTTAGTGCAGACATAATATACAACGTATGGTCAAATGTAGCAGAAGTTCCATTCCCGGAAATAAAAAAATAGGGCAGCCGCTTTAAGGTCCATTTCATGTTGTAGACTACCATGAACACCATCAGACATGTACCGAATAATCTCGTTCCACCATTGGCCATTTCGTCTGGCTTGTTTATTCCTTGAGTTTAGCTGCCATCGGTGCAGATAGAWACGATAATTTTCAAATGAACCAGACCTCTTTACTTCGAAAAATTCGAAATAGTGGAACTTTCGGTCTATAATTCAAAATTATTTCGAGTTGATCGCATCGAGAGATAGGGAACCATGACACGATTGATTTCGGTCGCAGCATCAKTGGAATCCCCCACCGGCGTCGTAGATACATAGAGTTCGTCCTCGCCGAATCGTGCAGAATGYTCCATCCAAAAATTGGTTCCTAGARCGAAATCAATGYCGCCGTCTATGTTGTCATCGCTTACAATTCTCAACTCAGGGGATTGTTCTATTGTACCTTCCACGCTGCCCATCCTCAAACGAAATGTTCCCRTCGGAATGATTCCAATGATTCCATCATCGGATATCTGTACATACTTTTGGAGCTGCGGAAACCTTTTTAGCGYACGTTCGTGTAGTGTGGATATTTCTCTTGTCAATTTGCCGTTTTTATTGGGTAAAAATGCGACGGTCTGCAGTGGGAGCACATCTTCTTCCTTGTTGCCATGCACATTGTTCACAGAAGTGGTATCGATCGCGATTAATCCGCAGGGAATCCGGCGGTATTCAAAAGCATCCATTCCAGTGGAGTCAGGCTTCGCTTGCGCGTAGGCATTCTTCAGTATTCCTTCTGGCAAAAGATTCAGCCTTTTCTTGATACTAACCACAATACGATCTTTCAAACCCGGTWTTGTCGTSATTGTGTAAGCCAACCATACAAGATACACCGAACAAACTATGGCTAATCTTTGACGAATTGGCAGACGAGGTTTCATTTTCCTGCGAGAACTTTTTRTTACAGCTGGTGGCTTTCGATGCAATACGGCCATTTCTGTTTGATAGATCTGCTGATTGGTTTGTTTATCACAATTGTGGAGACATGTTATCAATGTTGTCACGATCTTTGAATTGTTGCTAGACCAGAGATAAGTCATGGAGAGCTCGTCTTGCCGAGTCGTGGTAAATATGCGTCGTGTTTGTTTTATGGACGAATTGGCTCAATTG